CCCCCCCCCCCCCCTCCACCAAAAAAACAAAAAAAAAAAAACCCAGCTAAACGAGTCTCTTCTTTATCAACAGGAAAAAGAGAAGGGACTTGAAAACCCACTTTAATGGCAATTAGTACAATTGGAACACCAAATAATTAGGCCAATTATAGAATTATTGAGGATTTGGTACCTATGTGGGTACTAAATGATGCTTGATATTATAAACCTACACACATTCCACTTAAACCATAAAAAAAAACATCCACATAACCGTAATGGTTGGAAGGTTTATCAGGTCCATAACCTGGGTTGGAAGGTTTATTTTTGTCCACCCTTAATAATGTTCTTGCTATTTCTTTAATAAAATAAAAAATAAAAAAAACATTCATGAAAGAGAAAAACTCGAAAAAAGCGTTGTTTTACCATGAGAACAGCGCTTGGCCATGGCTAGCTTTTGGTCCAGTGAAGCCAAGCTATTTCTTTCAATGGGAGACTGAGTAACATTTTTGGCCATTGAAGACATAGCACTGAAGAAAATGCTGATTGAGCTGAAGTTTTAGAGGAAACTTGAGACTTGAGAGAGGTTTTGTAAGCTGATGAGAGAGGTTTTGAACTGAGGGTGAATACTTATAGGCATTCGGGAGTAGTTGGTGTGAGAGACTTCAAGGGTTGGGTTTTGTATAGAGTTTGATGGTTTCACTTAGATTTCCAACGTCAGAGTCACTGGTTTTCTATCTCTTTCTTTCTTTCGGTTTCTGTTGTTGTCGGTTCATTTCGTTTGTTCTTGTTATATATACCTCTGGTACGTAGATGAATGGTATCAGATGGTGAATTGTATGGGAGAGGGTCCAAAGCCAAGGTTACAGCATGTCTACAGTTGCTTTGTAAAGGTGATTTTTAAAAGAATAATACTAGATGGACTTAAAAATTAAATTTAATAATATTAATTATTGAATAGATAGTGAATTTCAATAAATGCTAGGACCCATAATAAAATCAATGATTTTAATTATCAAGTCTAATTTTTAAGTCCATATAACATTACTCTTTTTAAAATAGTTAGTCAAAAAATATTAAAATATCATATTTTTTTTATTTAAAAAAATTATTTTTATAAAGTTACTCTAACTATGCTATCTATTTTAATTAACTACTATTAAAATTTTAAGTAAAAAATATTGCATATTTTGTAACTTCGTCAAAATATAAAATAACTAACCCTTAGACCGCAAAAAAAGTGAGTTGACTCTCCAAATATAAAATAGTTAGCCAAAATAACTCTCTAAATGTAGAGAGTGATTTAGCCCAAAGATACAATAGCTAGCCAAATATCTAGCCCATTAGAATAAAATTGTGTTTTGCCTCGTTATTTTAGCTAATAAATATAAAATAGCTAACTCGATGCTCTTATACCAGGGTGATGTATATTTGTCTACAACTATTAGACTGTGAAGTGCTTGGAAAAATGTTATTTAAATTTAAAATTTTAACTTAATTTGTTCTCATATTGATGTGACAAGAGATACGTTCGTAATTAAGATGTTAAATAATTGCATATAACTACAATAATGTTATTGAATTATGTCATTGTGGTGGGCCGTTTAGAGCTAACTTTTTTAGGAAAAAATTTATGTTTTAAAAAGCTTTGCAAAAAAAGTTAAAGTTAAAAAAAATCCTCCAAAATCGTTTATGAGTAATCTTTAAAAAGTTGAAAAAATTAGAAAAGTTTGTTTCGAGTGACTTTTTAGTTTTTTGTTTTTTGAGTTTTTTATGTCAAAATAAAAAAATAATTCCATATATGCATAATAATTTCTAAAATATAAATTTTAAAATTTTTTACGTGACGAATAATATCTTTTAAATATAATAAACTAAAAAGTTATGTGAGACCCACAATATAACTTCAAAAAATCGAAAGAAAAAACTCATAAAATTAATTTCTTGAATCAGTCTAAATAAATTTTTAGGTCTGAAAAATTATTGCATAAACTGATCAATAAATTAGATCAAAATTTTAAATACAAATAACATTATACATTCCAAATTCTAGGCAATCAGAGCGAGGTATAATTGTACGAGGGTATCAGCCTCAGTGTATCAAAGAAGGTCTAAATCCGAGGTTAATTGAGTGATGTATGCTTGTGAGGACAAAAATTAAGCTACCCTTCAATAATATAATTTTTGGCAAGGTAAAAAAACCATCTTGGAAAAATATATTTCATTACTAAATAACAAAATCATATATATATATATATAAGTATAAGTGCCAACGAAATGCTATTTAAAAAGAGTAATATTATTTGAACTTAAAAATCTGACTTAATTTACTGACATAATGAAGTGGCTTCATAAGAATCATTGAATCAACACCAAATTCTATTGTTTAATGGGGTCTACAGTGAATTCAAAGGTCACAGTGAATTAAGTCAACAAATTATGTCTCAATTATATTGCTCATTTAAAAAAATTGTAAGAGAAAAAAAAAGAACAAAGTACTTAAAAAAGCCTTACAAACACGACCTAGATTTAAATTACACTAATGCTATACTGATCAAATTTTGGAATCAAATTTAGAGTTCAAATGACATTACAGTTGACTTGAGCTTCTTTGATTGGTGTCATGTCGTTTGAGCCCCCAATAAAAACTTCAAATAATCAATTGTCATGTTATTTAGGCTACAAATTTGATTTCAAAATTTAATCAGTGTAAGATTAATCTTTAAATTATTGAAATCACCATTCAATAAAACGGAAATTGAGGGGTGGTTGTTGAGTTTGTTGGTTAAATTTTCCTTTTTTTTTGGTTTGTGCAGAGAGCAAAGAAGCCAATGGTTTTGGGACAAAAAGGTGTCGGGAAAACCATGGGTGGGGTTGGGGTGGGGTGGGGTGAGGGTGAGCCTTTTCATGATGGGTTATTGGATCTGGCCTAGCGCAACCTGACAAGTCCATAAGATTAAGACAGGTGTACCAAATCAAGGGCTCAGATTAGTGGGTTGTAAGATGCTCACACAAACATGTTTGTTGGATTTCAGTTTGTCCATGGTTTTTCGTGTGAGTGGGTAGGATGATGGCATTTTGTTTGACTCTTTACATGTACTTTGTGTTGGACTCCTACTCCCCAATTCCATCACTTTCCCATAGTTTGCTTCAAGCTTCCAAAACAATTGGTTTTGTTTACATCTAGGACCAAGTTGTCTTACTTTCAAAACATATATTAGTACTATATACACACCTTCAAATGAATTATATATATATATATATATATATATATATATATATATATATATATATATATATATATCTTTTTCTATGTTATTTATGACCGTTGATTGTTAAAATAATAAATTAAAATAAAATGATAAAATAAGTTGACTTTATTCGTATCACTTCAGTTGGACGAAAAATAAAAATATGATATTAAAATATAATTTTTTCGTTTTATAAGTTTGAATAACGCTATTTGGACCTTTATTTATTAACTTAGTCACTTTTTACAACTATTAGATTGGCGATGGTCTCCATTTTTAGTTGGGACCCGTTATTAATTTAATGACTACGATACATTAAGTTAATAAATTAAGTACAAATAATATTTTTCTTCGGTGTTAGCTTAGAGATTAGCCTGTTTCATGGAGATTCTACTGCACAACCATTATTGAAAGGTCCGCGCATTCACAGGTCAGGTTTGCTAGAAAATCTATCGGGCCATAGGGTCATGGACCAGCCCGACCAGAGAATACGGTCATGGGCCATTCTTTGTTTGCCAACGCTCTGATGGGCCATGAGCAGCCAACAAAGACTCCACTACCTTGCTTCAAAGTTTTACTCCATAGGTTAAATCTAATGCTTTGTTTGGCTTGATTGAAAAATAGAAGAATAATATATCAAAAAAAAATTAGAAGAATAAAAAATTAGAATGATAGATAAAAGTGATAATTAGGAGCCACTCTCTTTTAGGGAATTTATAATGACTTAAGTTCATCACTTAAACATATTTGATATTGCCTTGTTATGTTCAAAAACATATTTGATATTAAGTCCTATTATTATCTGTTTAGCAAATAATTATATCCAAACTTTTTTTTATACCAAATGCCCTTATTTTTACATTCAAAGCAAATATTTTCATATTTAACTATATGAAAATGTATATATATATAGATAAATATATGAAATAGTTCTAATCTATAGGTATACTAGTCATAACCCGTGCCTGAAAGTATGATAAAATATAAATTTCAAGCGTCAAAAAAATCGATCTCACTATTTTAAATTTTTTCAAAATATATTAATTACAAATTAATTAAATATTAAATAATTAAATATATGATAGAAATGAGTGATGTAATATTTTTAAAGAGAAAATATATAAATGATTAAACATGTAATAGAAATGAGTAATGTGATTTAACGTTTGAGTTTGATAAAGGGATGATGGGTGAAGTACGTGATTGGTGATGGTTTTGAGGGGAAAAATATGACTAAGATAAAATTCAAATACACTCCTATTTTATTATATAGATATAGATAAATAAGAGAGAGATTTTTTTTTAATATTAGTAAAACTAGAGTTTTAGTTTTTCAATTTATTTTAATTAAATATAATTGTTGGGAATATTTTGGACTATGGAGATCGAAATTGACTTCTTTTCAAACAAAGTTTTTGAGTTGACTTATTCCCAAATAAGTCTTGAAAAGTGGACCGACCCTCAAATTTCCTAGATAAAATACCATCCTTGGTAAGAAAAAAAAATAGGAATGATGAGAAAGTAAATGGATTATATATAAATATGTAATAGTTGGTACACGCGTGCGTTGCACGCCAACTATTTTGACTTTTTTTTAAAAAAAATAGATAAAATGAACAATTTTTTTTATATTTATGTGGAGATGATTATTGAATTTTATGGAATTTACTAGTCCACTTGTTCCCTTGTTTGTGGACGGTTACACAAAATGACACTTCTGACGTGGGGTAACTGTAACGTTCAAGATTTTTTTCTTATTTTGGGTTGTGATGATGCACAAATTAGTTTGCACAACACTAATCAAGTTGTAGTATAAAATGCAGTAAGTAGAAGAAAAGAGAAGACATGATTTATAGTGGTTCGGTCAATTTGACCTACGTCCACTTTGAATGGCAAAGGTCGCCAGAATTTAATTATCCTCGGTGTGGAAAGAAAGCAGAATATTACAGGATTTGAGAGAGGAGGAGAGAGTTATGCTCAAATGAGTGAGATGTCCCCAAAATGTTAGAGGGGCTTACATTTTATAGTAGTTTGGTGTAGTAATTGAATTACTAGTCTGACGGTCATTATGGCTTAGGATCGTTTTATAGTAATTAGGGTGACTTATCATTTTCTCAATGGGCGAGGTGTGACAGTTCGTGTGCTCTCCAAAGGACTTGATCAAGGATGAAGGAGGTTGACTAAGGCTCCTAGATGCTCCCTTGGTGATGAGGGTGAGGTTACTCCAAGGTGGTAGAGGAGGCTCTTAGATGATCGTTCATGCTCCCCTGTTGAT